ATATTTGTTCCTATACGTTGAGTTCAGTAGAAGAAAGGTTGTGATGTCGCGGGTACAACTTTTGCACAATTGCAAAAAATAAGTAGAAAGAAAAGAATAGAAAATGTGATTTGTACATATGTTGGCGTACATCTCCTTTTTGAATTGGCGAGAAGTGTGAACGTTTTTCTAAATGGGATGTTAACTGTACTCTGTGTGAAAAGTTTTCTACAAATCTTCTTAATATGTTCAGTGAAAACAGTTGATTCCTGGCCATAGTATGAGAAGACATAGAATGTAATTTTCTTCGAAACTTGTGCTGGCTTTGTTGATGCTTACTATTACTTTGTTGTTGCAAGATTTTCTTGTTAATAACTTCTCCCTCTCTTATTCTTCTTTTTATGACGTGTTTAAGATAATTATTATCTGATAATATGCTTTCAATTTTCATGCTTAAAACGCTAGTGGATTATACTCTTTTTGAGTAACAATTTACTGAAATGTGGATTTTTTATGTTGAAAGCTGCTCTGAAGGACTATGAGCGCTATTTTGACTTTAATAAAAAAAACCTTTTTGTTTGATCAAAATGACAACAGTAACAAGAACAACAATACAGTACTATTCATCAATGATACAGATGTAAAATGTTCATTCCAGTAAATACTCATTTCATCAGCCTTCACATTAGGTTCACCTACAAGTTTGCCAGAAGAGGAACGAATAGGTGGAATCGAAGATTTATTAGCTCGATCTAAGGAACAAGAAACTTGGAAAAAGAAACAGTATTGTTCAATTCTAGTTGTCTAATATTTCAGAAAGGAAACAACGGTTAAGGTTGAGATTTTCGGATTATTTCTAATGCGGATACAGCTAGATACTAAGAAAGTTGACTCTCATCAAAATCTGAGATGGATTGTTGCATTTTTTTCAGCATGGATAAGATAAAATGAATAGTCATTGTAGCTCGTCATTGTACCTTATCTTGACCGCATGGTTGTTAGACACTTGGTATGACTGATGGTTCATGGAATCATTTACAAGTATGTTTTAAGGGTAACTTTTCGGTAAACCCATTCATTGAATGAAATTTTTAAATTCAAACAAGATTTAAACGGGATTTTACTTTCTGTTTTCATTTCCTTACAACCTATCAGCATTGCAGAGGTATTCACTATTCTTTAGTTAGAAGTCGCTTTCTATCCAATAAACTAATGACATCTAAAATTGTGAATTTATAATTACAAATGTGTCGGGTGGGATCATTTTCGCTATGTTCTATTTCATCTTCTATTTTCTATGTAGTATATCTTTAACTCTAAAAGCAGCGTAAATAAACACGTAGATGAACTACAGGCCGCAATCCTTGAGGCAGCAGATAAAACAGTACCGCACAAAATAGTAAGGATTAGGAATGGAGATCAGCCATGGTTTTCAGATAAATTACGAACATTGTTAAGGAAACGAAATGCAGCATTAATCAAATAATAATAGTTTAATTATTTTTTATTCGATTAATTGTGTTCTCGAACGCTTCTTCGGCCAAAATCGATAAATTAAAATTAATGGAAATAATTGATAATAACCATAAGCTAACGTAAATAAAAATAGATTTTTCATTTTTTCTCTACCAAATAAAGCTTGATAGAAAAAATAATTTAAATCAAAAAATAATATCAACGAAAATAGAATCATTGGTTTACGAATCCATTGGTGTTTATGATAAATAGCATAGATAGCAGTTACATAGAATGGTGCAAATAGAAATGATGAAAGACAAGTTAAATATTTAACAAAAGAATTATTATGAAATAAAACTGGATCAACATTTTCATAGAATAATTTGAAAAAAGCTTGTGGTGGCCAAAGCCATTTCGATGTATTTTCATTTCGAATTTTTTCATTAACTGGAGCAACAGAATTAATATAATCGATGGTAATAGCAAAAATAAAAAATGCAAGAAAAGTGCCAATTATTATTTTGTCAATAGATTGCATTGATTCGTAAAAAGAGAGAGATGCACTTGAATTGCATTTTTGCAAAATTTCTGTTTTCATTTCTTGCTCAGGGCAGTCCAACTTTTCCAATGTCAGCTTTTATTTGTGTACTTTATTCTATATGAAAAATGATCTCACATTCATTATAGCCTAAAATAACAAGTGTCTCTCAACTGATTTTTTATGGTTTTTTACTTTTACTTGGTGCACCACTATTAAACTGTGCACCACGACCAGATCCACTGATGCCACCCAAGCTGTACAACTACTGCGTAAGCTGTTTCTAATATTAACAAGCCTAAGGGAACTGCTGGCCGTGTTTCGATGAATAAACTGTTCAGTTTTAATCAGCCAACAATTTTAAGGCATCTTAATATTGTATGCAGCATTTTAATCTTCACAGATAGAGATAGGAAGCGACCTTTAACTTCCATTGTTTCTATTACGTCATTTGTGAATTTCCTATCTGATCGGACCAACCCAGCCTGATTGAAACTGTGCCGTTGTATCGGGACTAACCATACCATACATCGACTCATCTCCTGTCACGTCAGATTCCTTTATGCCGCTAATGGGGCTGCGGACACGAAGACCTTCATTTCCTCCTGTTGAACCAGTGAGTCTGTAGTGCCTAGAGCCAGCTCTTCTTTTTACACCCACAGGGGGCCACGTGGACTGAAAGCACCCTTTCGTCCTACCTTATTAGGGATGGGACGGACTCGAGAAAGCCACTGTTTATTCTCAAGCTAGAAGGAGGGCGGTCTCTATCGAAGGCCCTAACTCCTTCGATGCCATGCGGTTGATTGTAGTCGAAGTAGCCTCTAGTTCCAATAGAGGGATAGTAACTGTCAGAGCCCGCAACTCCTCTGATGCCACCAGATAAATTGTAACCAACTAGCCTCCTGTCCCAATAGATTGATTGTAACCGCCAGAGCTCTGAACCTCTTCGATGCAGTGCGGTGCGTTGTAGTCAATGTAGCTTCCAATCCCAATAGACGGATTGTAGCTACTGGGGACACCAATCACTCCGATGCCACCTGATGCGTTGTACCCAGCGTAGCCGCCAGTCGCAATAGAGGGATTGTAACCGCCAAATCCCCCAGCTCCTCCGATGCCACCAGAGGGTGCCAATGCGTAGAAGCACTGTACCCCTCCTATGCTATTAGACAGTCCGGAGTTATTTAAGCCTACTGGTTGAAATCCGAACATGTTCATTTGTGACGATTACAGGTGAATGCGACTGTTTTCTCGTTGTCTTTTTAGAAAATGCATGTTGTGCAAAAAATGGCGATACAGAGGTAAATGAAAGTAATGAAATTGTTGTGACACCATCATAGCTAAATCGTCCAAGCGAAATACTTCTCCTTTTTTCATTCCCTTTTTTTCTCTTGCCCCTATCATGTCACATGCTGTGATGTGTATAAATTATATTCCAGGTAATTTCCGGTAAACTTATATTCTTCTTTTGCTTTTCAACAGTACATATTCAACATCACACATACAAGCACAACAAAAGAAAGATACGATTTGTCTTAACCATATTCAATTTAATTGCGCTATATAATTTTATACAACTAGAATAATGGATCTACGGTTTCCATAGCAACTGAACTGAACTGAATTTTTATTTTTGCAAGCATGACTGTTGCAAAGAAAGGCTAGCTTATGCTAATGCAACACCGAAAATAGTGAAGAAATAAAGAAATACTGAAAAGAGCAAGTTACATTTGAAATATAAACTTATTTGACAGACTGATAAATGGCACCGAAGAGGGATGGTACATCTTTGTTGATGATGCACAAGGAAAGACTGATAAGTTATGAAAGTTGAAGATGCTGTTTCAAAAGACTCTTATAGATTCTGTGACTGGTTTGATTCACAACGGTGCATGGTAGCACATTCCAGTCGTCAGTGGCACGAGGAAAAAATGACCCTGAAGTAGACTTTAAGGAATAGTAAGATTTTTGAATTTGTTTATCAAGCGTAACAACCACCTTAGAGTTAGCAGCATATTCTAAATCAGAGCGACGAGTTACATTGTACGGCGTAAAGATCTCGTCGAGACCCCGTCCATTTTCTGGATCCGGTGGCTCCATTGAAGGTCGTCACGGTATATTACACTATATTCAACTGTACGTTCAGTTCGTATTAGCCTATATGATTTTGTTTCTAAAGACGGAAAGATTGCGTTATTTTTTAAGCAAGGCTCAGTAGCTATTACTTGGTTGTATAGAACGTATGTTGAATCTAGAGTGCTGGCAAACTTATAGGATCATCCTATCGTTCTGTTCTCTTTTAAAGTTTTCTCTTAGGTAATGTTCTGTGTTCTTTCGAGTTTTACTGTGAATATAGAGGTTCGGGCGTGCTCTATAATTCTGATACACCTCATAGTTTTCAAAAAAAGAAATTTCAGTAAAAAATCACCAATTTTCCGTGGCTAGAATTATAAAATCACTTAAAAATTTTTATACTTTTGCGATTATCACTGAGCACCACATATCGTCACCACACAAGTACATGTGATAAATTTAGAACCCTTTACAAATGAATGTATTAAATGTGGACATGAATTGAAAATTGAACTTCATGCAAAGGCAAAACTATTATATAAATTAGAGTCGGTTGAAAAATGTACAATATCGACAGCTTCCTGTACAAATTGTTTAATTCCTATTTATCCAAATCATTATACATACGGTAAACGTGGTGAAGACTGTTTTGTGACTCGTGAGTCGATCGAAAACAAGCAATATGTTTATTTTTACTTTTAATATGTTTATTTTTTACGGATACGTCTATGACCAAAAATGGATTCAAAATTTTGAAAATCATCTTCTGGTTAATCATATGTCGTTCTCTGGGTTTGCTCAACCACAAAATGAAATATATTCCGTAATTGAAAAATGTCAACCAATAAAATTGTAAGAAAATATCTGCCTGTTCTTTTCGACGGTTTTCCTTTCTGCCATTTCTTTCTTTCTTTTCAGTGGAGAAAAAAGTGCCATACATATTGATAAATTAAGTGAAAGATCATTTCAGAGTATTTGGTTGTTCAATAGCCTAGCTAAATTTGAATTCATGACAACGTCGAATGAAGAGATGAACATACCATCATCATTATGGGATAAAGAACAAAGAAATCAATATCTTGAACAGAGATGGGCAACTCCAACTCCGGAGCTGGAGTTAACTCCGGAGTTGACACTTTTTTACCCGGAGTGGAGTTGATTCTTTCAATCCAAAATGGAGTTGGAGTGGAGTTGAGTTGATATGAAGAGGAGTTGGAGCGGAGTTGGAGTTGAATTTTGTAATTCTGAAATGGAGTTAGAGTGGAGTTGCCTTGACCCGGAGTGGAGTGCAGATGGAGTTGGAGTTGATACTATTTTCCAACTCCGATTCAACTCCGACTGATCTCATGACTAGCAAAAGAACGACAAAAAAACTACATAGATGACCTTCAGTAAATGCACTGAAAGAGAGAAAAATAGAGATATAAAAAGAAAAAGAAATTTTACAATGACCGGTCCTGCGGTCGAATGCTGATCATTTATTGAATCATTCTATCTGTTGCACGTGTGTTTGTCTATCTATACCTATCTATTCTTTGGTTATTATCAATCTGTCTACAAACGGATTCATCATCTAATACACCAACAGTCGATCTCACTCTTTCTGAGTTTTAAACTGAGTTAAATCTATAAAGTTTATGGAAACTCGTCAAAGAAATAAAATTTCTGAAACTAGTTATTATTAATATTGATGGTAAACTTATGATAAAAATATTCTCTTTAGACTTAGTATTCATCCAATTTCGATTTAGTGAATCGGAGTTGAATTGGAGTTGGAGCGGAGTTGGAGTTGGTGTTATTAGCACTAGAGTTGGAGTTGGAGTGGAGTTTTGAAAAAGTAGATGGAGTTGGAGTGGAGTTGGAGTTGAAATCTTTAATTCGATTATGGAGCTGGAGCGGAGTTGACTTGGCTCGGAGTGGAGTTGGAGTTGAATTTTTTAATTCGGTATGGAGTTGGAGCGGCTTACACCCGGAGCTGTCCATCTCTGACCTTGAAGAAAATAAAGATAAATTTTATGAACAATTTGTGTCTACGTGGACTCGTCATAGTCACTTTACACGCACATGTCGTGTTGATTGCTCAAAGATATTTATCCTAGATGGACACCAAAAAGCTAATCGTCTCGTGTGTAAATACAGAAACATTTATGACCATACAATTCCTGAATTCGAGCCTACTAGCATTCAAATTGGTTGCCCGTATACATCAGTCAGAAAAAGCAAACGCTCTTAAAACTTCATTCACCTAGAGGTACCTCACATCACTGCTCTATTTATTTATTTAGCCATATACAATCATTTAGCTGTTGATCCAAATTATTGTGAACAACAGCAGGCTCACAGTGAAGAACTGAAAAAAATGTTTAAAAAGCAACAAGGAGTGACAGCGTCACATGTACCACAGCGAACATCAACAATGAAAGATGTAAAACCACCAACAAAATCAGCAACAACAGGTGTAAGAACACGATCGAAAGCAAAAAAAGAGGAAGAAAATAAATTTGAAAAAGATATAGATAAACGTGCATTTGAAGGCATTCAACCAAATGATTTGTGCAATGTGCATCGAGATGGAATAACAAGTTCAGGGAAAATCTCATCATTTGGATTTTTGGCTACGTTCTTGAATTGTAAAGTCATTGTTGGCTTTGACGAGCTTCTAATGGCCGAAGGAAGTGAGTAACCTTTCCAACTGTTCTCTCGTACATATATACGCAAGTGCAGACAATGCAAAATTTCAACAACATTTCTTTTGTTCTGTTAATACATGCCTGGAGAGTAGCCCTCATGTTATTAAGGAAAATCACGATTTTATATTTTTAAAACTCATTTCTATGAGAAAAAACTTGTATTGAAATTTTAAAGTTAGTTAAAATTAAGTGGAATTTTCGAAAGCCAGCAAACTTTCTTCCGTACTCAACTCTTAAGAGACTATTTAAAATCCACAGAAAAATTGATAGACAGTAGAAAGAGACCTTGGTAGTTATAATTCTCACTCTATTAAGACAACAAGCTACATCCATAAAAACAGATTAAATTCTTTTTGGTATAATATGAGAGTGGCAGACGATCGAGCAAGAGAAAATCTTAATCATTCTTTTATTCATGATGAAAAAAGTGTCTTAATTGCCGGTACATTCAAACTTCGATCCATAACGTAGGTTGTGTCCTACGTTGTTTTTTGAAGATGACACAGCCGCACTTTTTAATAATAAATGAAGTTTGAATGTACTGGCAATTAAGATATTTCTTTCATCATCAATAAAAGAATGATTAAGATTTTGCCTTTCTTGATCGTCTACCACTCTCATCGTATTCTGAAAGAAACTTTCATCCTCAACCTTACACGCTATAATATGAAACATTTCTGCTTTTGAAAGGATTAAATAATGGGTTTGTTGTAAAAAGACTATTTTGGTGGAAAAAAACAAAGAAATTCAGAGATCAAATAATCAAATATCAAAATCAGTTCCGTAAGATGTTTCATTCAGATATTATTGTTTTCATTCTCTGACTGTGTATACAATTATCAAAATGGTGGCTTCTTCTACAACTGATTCAAAGCTGCCTTCGTATGGCATGACTGATCTTTAAACATTATCACTAACTTGGTTAATGTTTTGTAAACATCTTCATTTGTTATACTAATACAAGTTTTTGTGAGAGTTTACCACTTACAGAAGGTGAGTTAAAACAATGTGATCGTGACCAACCTTGCAGGTGATGAAAAAATAGTTTTGGAATTTTAAAGAAAGAACCAAAAGGAAAATTCTGCTTAGTTTTTAAAATTTCACTAGTTTTGCCTATTTCTAAAAGTCAGCATTTTTGAACTTTTTCATCCAAAAATGGCTTTGAAAACTGTAGAATTCATTTTTTCGATGCAAGTGAGCGAGCTCTATCTAACCATACTTAAAACACGGAAGTTTTTTTTCAGAAAGCTCGAATTTCCGGCATCTTAAAAAGAGAAGGGAAGCAATACCATCATCATCAATTTCTGTTGGGAATCAACACAAATAAGAATAAACAAGTGAATGTTATCGGTTAAAAAGAAAATGACACATTGCATAACGACAAAGAGTAAACTTAAATATTCTTCTTCGTATGAAGCGTGTTTAAAGTAAAAGGAACTCTTCACATGGGCATGTTTGAGTACTCGAGTATAATTCGCTGCTAATATACAAATAGAGCAAGCAAAGCTAAGGGGGAAGTGTGATAAATAAAAAAATAGCTTGTTGATCCAAAAACCGCTGAATCAATGAAAAGACGAACTTTTAGTTATTCTTTTACTTACAAAAATGAGATATCACTGATTTTATATGGGGTGCCAAATGTTACACTTTGACTCGTGTTTAAGGCTATTTAACAACGACTCAAAGTAAGCAAAACCATATTTGTCATTGATCCGAAAATATTTCACAGGGCAGGACACGGCACCATTTTTATAAGGAAAAAAACTTATTATGTAGAAATTTTAAAGTTAGATTAAACTGAGTGAAATTTTTAGAAATTAGCAAACTTTTTATCGCAATGTACTTTTTATCCCCCAAAATTAGTTTATTCTAATTTGCCGTGTAAACTGAGTATTTAAAACTGAATTTGACATTTTTGAAAATTAAAATGGTCAATGAGTTTGTTAAATGTGAGCAGGGTCCTGGAAACATCAGTGACACATCTTGAAAACACATCAAGTCCTCACGAACACAAGCTAAAATAAGTTTTTTTAGCTGATTCTAATATCATACCCATGAAAAAAATTTCGATTCATTAATGGCGTAATATAAAATAAAGTTCATGCGTAATTTATGAGATGGAGAACTTTACTGACTTTTGAAAATTTCACTTAATTTTATCTAACTTTAAAATTTCAACATCTACAAGTTTTTTCTCATAGAAAGGAGTTTTAAAAATTTAAAACCGTGATTTTCCTTAATAACTCGACGGGCAATCTTCAGGCATGTGTAAATAAAACAAAATAAACTTTGCATTATATGCGGCTTATATACCAACAAAGTTTTCTCCTTTTTGTTTTACAGTGCGTAGAGTAGTGCGTCGCTTAATACGTATTCTTGAGCGTGGTCCATTGCCTCCAGCCATGTGTTATGATACAGCATGTGCATTGTATTTGTTCATTCAAAATCAGTATGGTGGAGAATTTATGAAAGAATCCAAAAGAACAAAATTTTTGTATACAATGCGAATGGTAATCGATCGCTTCCACGTCAAAAACCATACGAGAGATATGTGCAAAGATGTTATGCGATCGGATAATGCATCACAGAATAATTTTTTTGAGAATTTCAATTCTCTAGTCGCAGAACAAATATTCTCCTATTTTAGTCATTACAAGTATTCGTTTAAAAGCGATTCATATCCAAAATCCAACATTATTTTGCTTCTGATATTTCATCAAAAAAATTGTCATACTGTTGGTATTGAAACTTACGAAGAAAAAGTACTAAAAAGCCACTGACTGGTTCCCTCCTTTGAGGTTTTGCTCTTGTTTTTTGTTTATCAGAAAAAGAAATAGTTCAATTTTTCTTTACTTGGAAAAGCATATCAGAAAAAGTATTGTGCTATACATGTTCAGATCTTCATTTTTGTTGAAAAAGGGTTTTCAAACAATATTTGTCCTCTTTATTATTGGAGAAAACAGTTACATTCATAAAAAATAAATAAACTGACTGAATGACCAGAATATAATCCACTGCCTACCCAAGCAAAATGTACTATACTGGAAATAATAATAAATGGCAAATTCCACTTTGGTTTTTTCCTTGTTCGCGGTCCAATTTTCACATCTAGACGAAGGTAGTCAGAACTTTATTGTTAAATGACAAATAAAATCGCTGAACTTTTATCCTAACAATCTTATAAAGACTACATCACCATCACACAATTCAAAGTCACACGATAGTCTACCGCACACATAAACAATCTCTCAGTGACGGAAATGTTGTCGGATCACTCACTCTCACAACACTCGACCCCACTCCCACCTTAATCATTCATACATTCCTGTTTGACATATGTCAAACACGTCAAATTGTATCAGACACTTCTGCGACATGTCGCAAACATGAATCAATGATAAACGTTTCACATTTGTTTGGACAGTTTTCACCCAACATTTCACAAAATATTTATGACCACTCTGGATTAGAAAAACAATACAAAACTAATTTGACTTGTTGACTTGTTTTCCTGATCTAGGCTGAATTTTCAGAACTAACTTCAACAACTAGAAAATACAATGTATACATAAACTCTTGTTCGCTTCTTCTCTTGATCTCGGTTCATTTTCATAAGGGAAATAGATAAATACATCCACCCTTGTTCGCTTATTTCCCTGATCTCCCCTCATTATAATAAGAGAACTCCAATACATGCATCAACTCTTGTTCGCGTGTTCTCTTGATCTACCCTCAATTTAAAAAGAGAAAGATAGAATACGTCGATAAATTTGATTGTATTCTTTTTCAACCATTACGTATTCTGCTCTCAGTACATAAAACAGAAAAACGAATACAAAATGTATTTGTATCCTGCAACCTATGACATTTTAGCACTTGTAAAAGATGCCACCTGGTCAATTCGATTTTAAACAATTTCAAAGAACATAAAAACTTTTTTCGAAAAAATGTCGATGAAATACAATAGAGATAAAAGCCAATACCAAAATAGAGACTACTCCACATCAATAATATTGTTCGTATCAAATAG